TATATTTTCTTATGATTTATTATAAAATTTATAACATAAAAATTGATCTTCTGAAGATCTTTTGTTTTGTTGATTTTCCCCTTTTTTGTAGCACCAAGCCTATATATAATTTTGAAAAAAGATAGTTTTTACTTCTAAGCTAACATTTATATTTTACAATATAATTAATATTTCTTATTATAACAAAAAAAATTGTTATTTTATATTTTTATACTATCTATATTTTCTCCTTTTAATCAAAAAACTTTTGAAGTATCTTACTTTAAAATAGCATTTTGAGACTATTGACAAAATCAAACTCAAAATTTGTTAACATTCATGTTATTATATTCATAATTTAATGCTAAGATACATAGTTAACATTTAATTATTTTCATTTATCTATTTTATTTAATTGTTTGGAGTGTAGCAGAGGACATTTAGTATTTATATATAGTGATACCAAAATTATGTTATTGATTTATTTTGATATACTACTAAAAAATATATTAGAAATAAAATTTTTAATTTTCTTGTCTGTTCACATGCATGCCTAAATTTGTACTTTGGTGTTACAAAAACAAACATGTTTTTGCAAAATTATAATAGGCTCTAGATACACAATGCTATGTATTAACTTAGTATAAATTAGTTGTCATAGCCTATTTAAAGAACTAAACTGAATTTGCTTTCAAAACATGTTTGAACTAATCATTGCTTAGAGGTTTTTTTTACATATTTTATTATAGTTTCTTGATACATATTGGCAGATTTGCAAAATGAATCTAAATTAGAGATTCTGGATTTAACAATTGCAGAATATATAATAGCTGAAATTTTAAGATTGGTTTTACAATCGTATTGTTATTTTTTCTAAAAATTTATTAGCAAAAAAGTGTATAAATTTACTTTTTTTTTATTATCATATAAATATTAATTATATGATGATCTTCAATTATGATTTTCTCAAAATCACAATCATCACTTTTTGCTATAGAAGCCTCATATATACTGCCTAATGTATAATTAATTATTGTATTAGAATTATCGATATTTTTATGGTTATATTAGTTTTTATTAGAATGAATTGATTTCTATAGTGATTTACTATAAAAATTTTTACTAACTATTGTGATGATATAGATATAGATATGTTAGTTTTGTATTGGAATGAACGTATTTTCTAAATTCTGGATTACTGTACTTACTCACTATAGTAATGCAAGTAATTTTAATATGGTTATGAATGAGTTCTATATGATTTATTGTAAAAAAATTCATACAAACTATTATAGTAATACTTATAATTTTTAGAAATGATCAAGCAAAGCAAAGATTATTTTAAAATAGACAAACAAAGGAGGTAAGATAATAATCATGTGCTTAATCTGTTCTTTATTGGTTATTGTTCAAGCTTATGTAGTTATATTATTTATATATTTTATATATGATTATATGTGATTTGATTATTCTAAATTTTTGTATATATATATATACTACCCTTCTCTTTGAATGAAAACTCTAGACTATTTTTTTTTTTTTGTATTAATTATTATATATCTATATTCTATTATTTTATTTGTGCAATATTTCTATACTATGTATACTATTGTTTAATAAATATTATGCTATACAGGTTCAAGTAAGAGTGTTGTTTGATAAGTTCTTATGTGAAGATAGAGGAGGAAGGAAGAGTTCCTATAATTATTATCTTACCTCTTTTGTTTGTCTATTTTAAAATAAACTTTGCTTCACTTGATTATTTCTAAAAATAAACTTTACTTGAAGGTAAAATAATAATCATGTGCTTGTGTTGAGTTCATCAAATTTTCATTATATTTTTCTGGCTTTGTTCATTATTGATATTGGCAAATTATTTTATTCAAGCATTAATCTAATGCCTCGTTAGTAGAATTTCTAAAAAACTTCGTTGCTTGACCAGTTTCTTAATACTAAAATTGCTAGCAATTCTGATCCAGTATTTTGGATTAAAAAGGCTGCTAGAACTTGTGTATCCTTAGCCAAGAATAATAGATCTAAAAATAGTAGAATATCTTTTATCTATCTAAAGATTGTATCGATTGCTGCTGGTTTTCCAGAAGTGAAGCTTAGAAAAATGCTACTTAAAGTTTTTTGTGAATTTCTATATTTAGTAGTTTTGTTAATTAGACTAGTCAGTGCTAACAAGGGGCATAGCAAAGGTTTTTCTTTATATGGGACTCCGCATAGCAAAACAGTGCATTGGGCCAACCAATCAGATTTTGAGATTTTATAATAATAATCTGTTAATATATTGTATCTTTCTAAAAATATTATTAATTTGTAAAATATATTAATAAAATGTATGTAAAATTTAGAATTTGGTTTGTTATTATTATAATTAAAATTAATCACGTGATGATTTTCAATTGTGATTTTCTCAAAATCATATGATTGTCCCAATGCACTGTTTTGCTGTGCGGGGTCCCATATTTACTATTTTTAAGCATTTTTGGCCTCCTTTGGATGTAGATATTTTCACCTTTTTAGGCATTATACATTTTACTATAATACCTTCACGTGATTGAGTTATTGAAGTTAGGTCAAGTCTACTAAAATCTAAGAACTATAATCCTGTGGTTATTTCTAATAAGAAGGCAATTTTTTTATTTAGGTTTAAAAGAGATAAATCTTCATTCTTTTCCCAAGCTATAATAGCGTCAAACAAAGGAGTGATATCTAAGATATCATCTAAAGGTTTTGATGATAGGTTATTTTTCTATATAGCTCTTATTACCTTTCCTATTATAAAATGTAAGCCAACTTATATATTGTTTTCTTGTCTATGAATTTCATTTATAACAGATCTGTAGCCTGCAATGGTATTATAGGATTTATCTAATATATTTTGAATATTTAGAAATTTAGCAATTTTAGATATTCTACAATCTTTTGGGTTTATACCCTGTGAATTGCACCAATTCACTTATGTCTTTAAGTTCAATGATACTGTAATTGAAGCTGATTGATCTAATTTCTTTGTTGTTAAGTTGACTACTTCTTCTGATAATTCTTGATTCTATAACAATTTTCTGAAATAGGTACTATGCAAATCTTTCATGACTTATTCCTTATTGGATGTATTTAAAAGCATTTGCCTGGTAGAATCATTTATCTGGAAACTATTATTGGTCTGGATTCTATTATTTTGGTTAGCAAGAAATACTATGGGGCTGATGTCTATTGAGAGTAAATCAGTATTACTTTTGCCCTGTCCTGAATAGTTTTTGCAATTACTTTGTTCATCATTATCTATGGTAGGTTGGCATAACCCAATATATTGGTTTACTTCATGTAGAATATGTTTATTTGTTCTGAGTTCTCTTTGTTTGTCTAGAAAAAAAATCTTGACAATTTTATGTTGTCTGCATTGGTGAAAAAATCTACTTGAGATGGGTTCCAAAGTTGCTAAATCTCCTGAAAGAATCAGAGATGAATCTTCTAATCATGTTTGTCTTTGAACTGTCTAGATACTTTGTCTGTGAGTATATTGTTCTTTTCAAAATATATACTGCAGTTATTTTTATTAATTTTCTTAAAGCATATTCTCATATTAATTTGATGATTTTGCTAACTATTAGGAAGATAGTGCCTCCTTGATTGTTCAGATAGGTAACTGTTATTACATTGTCAAACATTATCCTTACATGTTTTCTTGTAGGATTTTTTACTTTTTTGAATATTTGTAGTACTGCCAATACTTATAGAGGAGCATTTATGTATAGTTGATGCTCTTGTAATGATTATCTTTCTGAAATGAGATAGTTTTTCAGAACTACTTCCCAACCACTGTGAAAGGCATTTGTGTAAATTGTCAGATCCAGATGGGGCTGAATTACTGATTCTCCATTCCATATTTGCAGGTTGTAAATTCACTACATAAGTTGTTATCTGCTTTTTGTTGATAAAGTGAGGATTGTATTCCATCTCTACATTTTGAGGGCTATTTCTTGTCTCAAATTAATGCCCTGGTTTTGAGTTGTGCTAGAAAGACTGCATTCATTATTGCTATCAACTTGCCAATTATTGAAGCCAATTTGCATATATGTATTCTGTTTTTTTTTTAAGAAACATTTTGCACTCCCTTATTACTTTTTTTACCTTGGTATATGGGAGAGCTATTGTTATTTTGGATGTGCTGATAGTAAAACCCAAGTATTCTACTTCTTTTGAGAATTTTAATAAAAATTTTTCCTAGTTTATAGTAAGTTCTAGCAATTGTAAAAGATTGACTGTGATTTTTTGGTGGCTTAGAGCTTTTGCTTTTGACTTTGTGATAATAATTAGATCATCTAAGTATGCTACTATACGTATATCTAGTGATTTTAGTTTCTTTATAATAGGTCACATGATCTTTGTAAAGGTTCTGGGGCTGGCAAAAAGACCAAATAGTAGTGCAGTAAATGTAAAACATTCTTTGTTGTAATCAAATGCAAAATAAATTTGATTCTTTTCTGATATTCTTGATATTTATCAAAACCATATAATAATCTGGGTGGAACATAGATTTGATGGTCTTTATATTGTCATAGGTTACCAATGTAATTTGCAATAGTTATTCTTTTCAATAATTATATCAACCAAGATGCCTAATTCAACTAA